CAATATATGGATATAATATTATCAAAATTGGGTGTTATATCGGATGTAGATCATTTTCTTGACATAAGGAAACTCGCCTAGGGAACACACACAAAAAAAAAAATGCAGTGCATACTACTCTATATAGTATACTTTTAAATCTCAGCCAATTAACTCCCATAAAGCTGGAGTGGTGCGACGTCGATGCAAGGAATCTAAAACCCACAACAATCACTCCTTACAGAGACTAAGAACGTATTCAGATAGTGGCGCCCACCTGCTTCGTATTACGGGATGTTTTCTTAAATTTTTGGCATCAAAAAGTATTTACATAGACACTTTATTAGAGTCGATTATTTAAGAAATATTTGTTACTTGATTATACGCAACATTAAATCTTTTTAAATTTCTTGCACTAGAGCAAGAAATCTAAAACCATAATCCTGTGTTTACAGTATGTACACATTTTATTGTTATCAATAATTTAAGAAATACTTGATTTTCATATGCTACTTACTTCTATTTTGTCCCTATAAAGAACGATTTGGTTTTAGATTTCTTGTACCGTACTTAATTTTAGAAAATCTGATAGTTTTCATTTGACGAAAGTTTTAGATATCAGTGTAATCACAATATTTTCGTATATTTATTTCAAAAAAAATAAATAGATAAATAAACAAATAAAAGTAAACTGAATAATAATAATTAAAATCTATATGAAGTTTTGATTTATGAATATAAGTATTTACATTAGCTTCGTATTAATAATTTAATATACGTAAATTCAACTATACATAAATTATTTTACTTTCTAAAATATTTTGCAGCCTGTATCCATAAATGGCTTGGATCTCTAGCACTCCGTTCATCATAGTACAATTGATAATCTGCAGGTCTAAAAGCATAGTCCATAACTTCATTTGGATTCTTAAGACTGTAGGCTTCAGCTATAGTATAATACAACGTTAAATTTCCAGGAATAAATACTTTAGAAATTAAAGAACTATCTAGATTTTTAAGTAATTTAAGTGAAATTAGAAGGTCATCAGAAGAAAATGCAGCTCCAACAGCATATTGAGCAAAAGAGAATCGAGTATTCGGAAATCCACCAACGGCTATGGTAGGAACGTTAATTTCTGCTAATCTTTGAGCTATAATTGCACATGATGACTGACATAATCCATTTGTCATAATTATAATATCTTTCTCAGTCCAAGGAAGTTTTGGAGGTTTTGGAAGTTTCAGAGTTCCACTATAAAGTGTTGTATCATTAAAAAATGCTTTTGAAGTGTATTTAACCTGATCGCCGCCACGAGTGTATATATTATTTCCAATAAAGTCATTAACGCTATCAAATGGAGTGTTTGTCTTTGCAGAAATAAATGTCTTATAATGAAATATGCTTCCAATTCCTTTTTTAAGCTTTGAAGTTTCTTCTATAAGCGGAATAGAAAGATCATTAACCTTAAAGTCCAACGGAAAGTTTTGTATGTTTGGAAATAAAATCTTATTTATATAGTGTGCAATAAAAACTTCGCCACCACCATTATTACTTAAATCCAAAATAATCTGATAAGAAATTTTTAATAAAATATTTTTAACATTTTATGATACAGCAGCTTTAACATATTTATTTTAAATATATTTATAGTTTGCTTACCTTTTTTATACCTCTGTCTGCAAGTAATTTAAACCCAATGGCTACATCAGACAGGAAACGATATTCAAGATCAGAGTTGGTGTCGGTTAAAATGGATTCAGTTGAAATCAAGACCACGCCAAAGCCCTGTAATATATAAAATCTGGCAACGAATGCATCAAAGATTAAAGTTGCATCTCCGACTGAAGCCCCATTAATATATGGAGATTTATATTGCATACTGTTAATGGGAACTAGCCATTCTCGAGTAATTTTAGAAATTTCACCATTACAATTAAGTGTGTAAGAAATACTTGGATTTTTTGGCAATTGATTTCTAAATGTGAATAATTGTCCTGCAATATAAAAATCACCATTTCCAAAAGCAAGCGATGCAAGAGCTGAATTAAATCTAGCACTCAAATCTCTTGAAAAAAATGTGTGATTTCTAGCAAATTCAGTAATTACTTCAATCGCTGGTTTGTCATCTATGTCTATAACTTGACAATCGATGTTGCTAGGGTCTTTTATGTCATTAAAAACCTTAATTTGCTAATATAATAGATTAATTAGTATATATATATTATTTAGATTTATGATATATTTAATCATTTACCTGCGTGCCATCTTTCCTAATCACGGAATACATGGAAAATCTTTGTTCAAAATTGTACTTGTGATAATCTTTAGAATAGAGCCTGCGATGATATATAAAATTTAATATTTATATTTTTTATTAACATTAATTTTATTTTTTAATAATAGAATAATTTACCAGGTGTGTCCATCTCTCAATTCTTGAATAAGATCTGTAACATCATACTAATAAAGTGCATAAATCATAAGTAATTCTGTGGTATGCATATTAATTATATACAAAACACTTTAAAATTAGATATTTACAATAAATTGAAATTCGAACGAATAATTGTTCTTTAGCACCAAATCTAATTCAGATATTAAGTCAATTGGTCTTAAAGCAAACGCTGGATTTGGTTCTTTTGCTTGATCTAATAACGCATAGAATCCTTTAAAATTTTCTTTCACTGTCTCTATTACCTAATATATAACTTTAATTAATATTAACTATCAAATTTACGAATTATTTTTATTTGCCCAAATTAGCAATACCTGAATTGCCTTTGTTTTATTGTACGGTGTTGATTCATAACAAGCTTTTATATCCGAATAATTAAGAAATTCAACGTTGGAATAAAGCGAACTAACGTATTCATCAAGCTTATCACATATATTGGTATTTTCGTCATTTTCTTTACGTGGAATCCAACGTGAACAAACAATATTAGTAAATATAATAAGTATGAATATTATAAGATAGTTCGATTTCATTTTTTTATATGAAATTATAATTTATTTGATCAATATTTTTTTTAATTTCACTCAATAACTATCAGTTTAGTTACGAATTTAGTCCCTTTTATAAGCTTAAAAATTTTTATAAAATACATTACACGATTAATAATTTTATTTTAAGCTTCGAATTTCATTCCTATTTACGGCTTTAGAAAAATACGCCAAACTTTTTTTATTTGTTGCCGCATTTTGATATACTAATTTGTCATTTCTATATTTATTTTTCATGTCGGTTTATTCGCAGATCCTTTTTTAGGTATGTAGTACGTACCATACTTATTGTAAAACCCGAACAAATCCAAAAGCACACTCATTATAAAAAACTAGATCAAAAAAAATAATAACCTTGATAATTGAGCAAATATATTACATATAACTATACCATTTGCTTAAAAAAAGATTGTTGATAAAGTTTTTGAGATATTAATTTGGCTAGAGGTTGGGATTTGGGCGCGGACAAACCCAAACTATAATTTTTGGGTTTAGCCGATAAGAATAATCGTTACACGAATTTTGTTCTTGAAAAAGTACGACCGAAGCACTAATTACGGCCAATACACTCTATCCTCGTTATAACAGAACCTTTAAAGCGGAGCACTCACTATATAATGATTCTCTAGAATAAATCAAATTATCAAAAGGTTGGACCCGTTCAAAAAACCTTACCCTGGTTAATCGTCGGCTAGACTTCTTGGTAATCCGTGTATATCCGGGTATATCCGGGTAACAGATATCTTAACCGGATATCCGTTGTGTTGTACCCGCGGGTTACTCGGGTAGCCTTTACCCGGGTCCAACCCCTATTATTATCATACTTCGCTATAAAAATTTTTCGAAAAAAACGTATTCCGCTTTATACATTTTTCGAACAAAAAATATATAAATTCTGTCATTTTTATAGAATCCTGGTAAGTTTCAGGTAGAAATCAAATCCGGGTAAGATTCGGCTTCTAATCTTTTGTACTTCATTATTAATTAGAAGTTAAATCTTATCCGGATTTGATTTTTACACCAGAAGTATCATTCCAAGAATTTATATATGGTTTGTTCCTAGTTTGGCTCTAAAAATTTCGAAATATATCCCAAATTTCTCTAGATTATCGTTATGGAAAATGTTCATGGTCCGTGACGCCTAGTTTTAATGAATAATTACAGGTGGGGATTTTAATTCTTAAATGTCACTTGGTGTCAAATATTTAAATGTCGTTCTCTTGTGCTATTTAACTATTTAATACATTGTGACATTTAAGAAGACCTTACCTAGTGTTTAAGAATTAAAGTCTTCCTGTATATGTAGTCACTAGTATAATAACAATATGAAATGTCAGTAATGTCAGTAATCAATTTAAACTTATCGATTTGATATTTAAAATCAGCTTAGTCAATTATATCTGGATTGTGGAAATTTCCAGACTCACATTTACCCTTTATTGTTTAGTAGCCTAGTTGTCTAAAATCATCAAAAACCCTTTATATCATTTAGTTTATTTCATTGAATCAACTAAGCTATTTTTTAAAAAAGTCCGTTTAGTTACTAAACCAATTTTATAGCCTCACTTTGCTCGGCCGAAATTCTACGTACATCTTTTGTAAACAGATTCATCGACTATCATATTGTAGGTTCAAGTTTTGATAAAGATTCATAAAACCTGATATTGTTCAATTAAGCTGATTGTTGTAAAATGCACATTCGGAACTAGAGATAGGCCAATACGCATTTTGCCCATTATAATTCGGAATACATCTAATGCCGTGTTGAACATAGAATAGTTGGAAAGATTATGGATGTTAAATCAGACCAGATTGGCCCACATGCATGACAAATTTACTCATTCGGCTGTTATAAAAGGAAATAACTACATTTGGTATGCTTTTGATACATAAAATGGCTGGTACATACCAGACAATACGATTATAACATACTGTATTTCTATATGGATCAGTCAACAAAAGAAAAGCTTATCGTAATAGCTTTTTGCAACAACAAATTGACCAGATGTTATACAAAACAGGTATTCTTATATATAATTTATTTGCCTATAACTACTTTTCTTAATTACATATTACGTTTAAACCTTACTTAAAGCTTATCTCTGATATTGGATTTTATATATATCCTTACAGCAGTCATCAGAATCATAGAAAAGCATTCACACGATTAGCTAAATTACATCAACAGTTTATACCGTATTATCCCAGAACAATATAAATCATCGTATAATATAAATGTAATGAGTTTGTAATTTGATAATAGAGTAAGGTGAAAAACGATATTACCTAATATTATAACAAACCGTGAAAAGTTTCTTTAATACAGTAATATATGCTATGTGTCGCTT